TGATCCCATTGACCCCATTGACCCCAAAATTACCCCATTGATCCCATTGATCCCATTGACCCCAATGATCCCATTGATCCCATTGACCCCATTGATCCCACTGACCCCATTGACCCCAAAAGGACCCCACTGATCCCATTGACCCCATTGACCCCAAAATKACCCCATTGATCCCATTGATCCCATTGACCCCATTGACCCCAAAATGACCCCACTGATCCCATTGACCCCATTGACCCCAAAATGATCCCATTGACCCCATTGATCCCATTGATGCCATTGACCCCATTGATCCCAATGACCCCATTGATCCCATTGACCCCATTGATCCCATTGACTGCATTGATCCCAATGACCCCATTGATCCCATTGACCGCAATGACCCCATTGATCCCATTGATCCCAATGATCCCATTGACTGCATTGATCCCATTGATCCATTGATCCCGTTGACCCCAATGATCCCATTGATCCATTATTGACCCCATAGACCCCACTGATCCCATTGACCCCATTGATCCCATTGACCCCATTGATCCCATTGATCCCAATGACCCCATTAACACCATTGATCCCATTGATCCCATTTATCCCATTGATCCTGTTGATCCCGTTGATCCCAATGATCCCATTGATCCCATTGACCCCATTGATCTCATTGACCCCATTGATCCCAATGATCCCATTGCTCCCAATGACCCCAATCCCATTATTGATCCCATTGATGACCACAATCCCATTATTGATCCCATTATTGATCCCATTGATCCCAACCCCATTATCGATCTCATTATTGATCCCATTACCACCAGTCCCGATAGAATTCCCGATCCCCGAACTGCAGCAGCTCTGCCACGGTGTTCAGGGACAATCCCCATCATCCCATTGATCCCACTGATCCCATTATTGATCCCATTATCAATCCCAGTGACCCCAATCCCATTATTGATCCCATTATCAATCCCATTATCGATGCCAATGACACCAATCCCATTATTGATCCCGTTATTGACCCCAATGACCCCAATCCCATTATTGATCCAAAATGACCCCAACCCCATTATTGATCCCATTATCGATCCCATTATCGATCCCAATGACCCCAATCCCATTATTGATCCCAATGACCCCATTGATCCCATTATCGATCCCCTTATTGATCCCATTATTGATCCCATTATTGATCCCATTACCACCAATCCCGATAGAATTCCCGATCCCCGAACTGTAGCAGTTCAGCCACGGCGTTCAGGCACGAGTGGAAGAACCAATAGAAGAAAATCAACCAAATCAGGTGATTGGGGACCTGCGGGACACGGAACGGGGTCAGAGACACCTCAAATCCATCCCAAACCCCAAAATGTACCTCAAAATACACCCCAAATCCCAAAATATACCGCAAACCCCACCCCAAATCCCAAATCCACCCCAACCCACAAAATCTCCACTTAAATCCCAAATTCCATCCCCAAACCCCACCCCAAATCCCAACCAAAATCCCAAAATACACCCCAAACCCCGCCTCAAATCCTAAAATACACCCCAAACCCAAATTCCATCCCCAAACCCCACCCCAAACGCCAAATTCCATCCCAAACCCCACCCCAAATCCCAAATCCCAACCGAAATCCCAAAATACACCCCAAATCCCACCCCAAATCCCCAAATCCTCACTTAAATACCAAATTCCACCCCAAATCCCACCCCAAACCCTGAAATCCCCACTCAAATCCCAAATTCCTTCCCTAAATCCCAAAATATACCCCAAATCATACCCCAAATCCCAAAATATACCCCAAACCCCAAATTCCTCCCCAAATTATACCCCAAATCCCAAAATACATCAAAAACCCCAAATTCCATCCCAAACCCCACTCCAAATCCCAAATCCACCCCAACCCACAAAATCTCCACTTAAATCCCAAATTCCATCCCCAAACCCCACCCCAAATCCCAAATTTCAACCAAAATCCCAAAATACACCCCAAATCCCACCCCAAACCTCAAATTCCACACAAAATCCCAAAATCCACCTAAAATCCCAAATGAATTCAACAAACTCCAAAATCCCAACTCAAATCCCAAATTCCATCCCCAAACCCCACCCCAAATCACAAATTCCATCCCTAAATCACAAAATACACCCCAAATCCCCCTCCAAATCCCAAATTCATTCAACAAACCCCAAAATCTCCACTCAAATTCCAACTTCCATCCCTAAACCCCAAAACCCTCACTCAAATCCCAAATTCCACCCCAAATCCTAAAATACACCGCAAACCCCACCCCAAATTTCACCCCAAATCCCAAAATCCTCACTCAATTCCTAAATTCCATCCCCAAATCCCAAAATACATCCCAAAACCCCAAAATCCCCCCAAATCCCCCCCAAATCCTAAAATACACCCCAAACCCCGCTCCAAATCCCAAATTAATTCAAAAAACCCCAAAATCCCCACTCAAATCCCAAATTCCATCTCCAAACCCCAAAAAACACTCCAAACCCCAAATTCCTCCCCAAATTATACCCCAAATCCCAAAATACATCAAAAACCCCAAATCCCAAAATCCCCACTCAAATCCCAAATTCCATCCCCAAACCCCACCCAAAATCCTAAATTCCATCCCCAAACCCCAAAATACACCCCAAATCCCCAAATCCCATCTCAAATCCTAAATTCCATCCCCAAATCCCTAATTCATCCAACAAACCCCAAAATCCCCCACTCAAACCCCAAAATCTCCCCCAAATTTCCCCCTCAAACCCCAAAA